AAGTAAGAAGTTAGGTTGCTAATCCCAGTAGAAAGTGTTTTTATTTTAAAAACAAACTGAAGCAGTTGTAAAGACACTAGAGTGTAAAGTCACTAAGCCTAGGACAACTGCACCTGAATCACCTTACATGAGTTCAGAGAATGTGAGTTTGGCTTCCAAAATCAAAAGCAGCACTTTCACTTTTATCCACAAACAAATTTGCTGGTTTACTCTGGGAAATTAGAAAGAGTTTGGGATACAAAAGCAACCTCAGGCTGCACAGCTGCTGCTTCTGAAAGACATTAATGCTAACAGTAGTTGTACTTGCCCAATAAAGGATCTGCGAAAATAAGATTAAAATCTCCTACAAAACACAGCTGGATGTAGATGCTTCCCTCTGAGCATGAAAAGAGAATTGAACATCCTTTATTCCAGTTTGCACCAAGATCTCTTTTTAGTTTTGCAAAAGGTTATCATCATGTGGGACACAGATGTTCTCTCGCCTCATAACTACAATTAGTGCAAAAATGCTGCATCATCACAATTTTTTTTTAAAAATGACATTGACCAACTACAAATTTAAAAATAGAGATTGCTCTATAGATCTTTTTACTTACTATTTTGCTTGAGAGCTAGATAGTCATACATTTTATTTTTTATCAACTTCCATTCTCTGCTGTAACATGAAGTACTGAAGTGCCATCTACTGGCTTGTTGCAGAGAAATGTTCTTTACATTAAGGGAAAATCAATAAGGAAAAATGCATTGACCATTTTCTTGGTTATCTTACAGAATTTTCCTGTTTCTTCTTTATTTGCAGTAGTTTGTTATTGTGGAAATATCAATTATGTTTTAAAATAGAAAAATAGGGATTTGGCAGGGTGAAAGCTGCAGTGGATGGATTAATGATGTAAATTAAATGGATCTTATGCCACACATGGTGGATCATACTATATTTGCCATAGGTTTTGGAGGTAAGTCAACCTATTTATATTAAGCCTAGTTTAGAAGTTACATTTCAGTTTGGGTTTCCATTGGAAGAGAACTGACAACGTTAAGTCTTGGATAGACTCAGTGGAGGGATTCTGCCGGTTCACACCAGTTCACATAAACCGGTGGTTAAATAACTCCCATTCCCTGCTATAAAAGTGGACCCTGGGCGTGGCGCTGCAATAGAAAAATGGGCAATAGTGGCTAGCATGAGGAAAGGCCACTTTCCCTTTCTTCTCCTTGCTTCACCTCCTTTTCTTGTGCCGGCCGCTCCATTTCCCGTTTCTCCATTGCAGTGCAGTGCCCAGGATCCACTTTGATAACAGGGATGGTAATTTAACCACCAGTTCATCCAGGGTCATCCAGGTTAGCCTTTGCTGGAGGCTCATCCCGCATATACGATGGAGCTGGAGGATAAGGATGGGACATGCCTCCCACGGCAGCCAACCGGACCCTAGGCGAACCGATTGGCCTATTCACCACTGGGTAAGCTGCTCACAATGTGCCAGCACCACCATTATGGGCATGTCATGATAGGCCCATGTAACATCTTTGCTTTGTGAACTCGACTGGTGACCTGTAGCCTTTCAGGTACAAATTTAGGATTGCTGGTTATAACATATGCAGTCATTCTTGACATACATTCTAGTTACTTGAGGGATCTCAGTATTCCATCATTTCTGTCTGCCCTATACAATCTGGCAGAGCCAGCATGCTTCAGATGCAGTGACCAAACAATATCAACTGATGTGACTTTTGACATGTTTGTCCTCTGGGATAGCCTCACCCTAAAATTATTGAGACAAGCCCTTAAGAACTGTTTTTTGTTTTCAGGCCATGGGTAAATGGCAAGGACCTTTTGGGTTGTCTGATCTGTGAGATTATGATTGGAGGTTTTGGAGAGAGGGGAAATATTACACTTTAAGTATATGGCCTGCATTAAGTTTCATATATTGTACCTTTCACAAAGGTGCAATGGAGTTGAGCAGTAAATGCATTTAATAAACACAATAAACATGTCTGTGCATAAATTGTAGCTGGAGAGGGCAAAGGAAACTATAAAAAGTAGTTTGGAGGCAAATTACAGGTTGCCCACGCTGGAGCAAAATATTGTTTTTCAGTAAAGTCTCTTTCACCTCTGTATACTAGTCTGAGGGCTTTACACCATCCCTGTTCTTTTGGTCTTGACATATTTAGTAGGAAGGGAATCCTGGATGGGAAACCTCAGTTGTATTAGGGTGTGATGACAATAAAGAGTCTTGTGGAATCTTAAAGACTAACAAATATATTACAGCATAAGCTGTTGCTAAAATAAGTTGTTTTTCTTTAAAGAAATCCGAAGACCTAGTTTGGGTTAAAGGTTTATCCCATTTGAAAAACGCATTCTTTTCTTGAAACAATCACAGTCACTTTCACTAAAATTGCCTTCACATGCCATCTGGTAGAGATAAATACCAATATAATAAATTTCTGTAGGCTGCTCTATTGCCCACTGGGAAATAAATGTGCCTTTACAATAAACACTTTTTGGTGTGTTTTGCCTATTCTTCACTTCATTATTTAGTTAACCTTCTAAGTCTATTGGTTCCATTTAATTCTAAAATGTGGAAGTCACTGACAATAGTTACCAGTAGTTACTACAAACCCTACTCTGCTCTAAATTCAAAATATTTTGGTTTAAATGAGGAAAAATCGTATGATTTCCATTCTGCCTTTCCAATGAATGAAAATACTTTCCTCTGTGCAAAAGAACTGTGTTCAAAAAATAAAAGAAAAACTTCACTTCAACTGTCTAGGGAAATCTACTGCAGTTTAGGATTAGATTAGGAAGTATCCAAATTTAGGAGACCTATGAATTCTTGACAAAAAATCTAGTAGCTGCCATAGGTTGGAAACATCACAAAAACTAGGCAAAAAACCCCCATCAAAACCAGTGAGATTAGAAGACAAGCATACTCATTTCAGTCCCATTTCCTTACTCCAACAAAAAAAGCTACTTCACAGTAAAACATCTAATGTTTAGGTAGCTTCTAAAGAAATTTTAAAACAATGTTCTGAATAAGAGGAAAGTATATACTCAATCTCTTACATCACATACTGCCAACTATCTTTTACAATTATATTTAAGGAGCATACAGGTCTCTTTTTGTGTCTCTGGATCTCTGTAAAGCAGGGGTGTCAAACTCACGTCAGAGTCATCATGTGACATATCACGACTTTCCCCCACTTTGCTAAACCAGGCTTGGGTGTGACCAGCAAGTGGGCTGCAAGTTTGACAGCCCTGCTCTGAAGTTATGTACTTACTCTACTCTCCATGTACAAATTTTTGCGGGGTGGGTGAGAAGGGTTTGACTTAGCACACAGCCACAATTTGAAACCAAGTTGTGTTGGCAGCTTGTGAAACAGCTTGTTTAATGTAAACTGAGAACTGTGTCATTTGAGGCTTGTTTTACAAGCTGCATGATGCCATTATAGTATTTATTTGATTGATTGATTGATTGATTGCTGAGATTTACTTCTTGTTTGCCCTTCACCCAAATTTACCCAGGAGTAGCTTTGAGGGGCAAGCAGGTAAGCAGGCCCAAAGCCTGATGGCCTCAGAAGGGAGAGAGTGCAGATGGATCTGGTACTCTGCTTTCAGCGGCAGCTAAAAGCAGTTCAGTCTTTAAAAAAAAACCCACAGATCTTCAAAGGTAACTTGGTCCTGGGAAGATATTGCAAGTGATGTACGTCCTGGGTGCCACAATAAAAATGAAAATGGATTACATCATTACTAGCTCTCAAGAGACGTTGCCATTTTTTTCATAACTACTAAGGAAATAATTTTATCTTATCTGGTATCCTGGTAAAAGCTTGGACTTGCTATTATTGTGCTGACAGGCACTGTAATGCCAACTTTTGGCTGATGTGACAGCCCAGAAAAGCTTTCAACTGCTGATGTAATGGGGAAGCTTGGGAACCATTGATGAAATTTGCCTGTCAAATTAAGGCAGGTGGCCTCCTAGAAACCAAGCTTTCTGGATAACTTTTGTCTGTTACATCCAATTTCTCTGCCTAGTAAAGAGAGCCTACATCAGGGATTTCTGCAAGAAGTTCACAAAAGTTGCAATAGTATCCATGACTGACTTTTAAAAAGTGCTATGACTTCTTTGACTGTTCCTGGCTTAGATATGTCAATTCTTAGTTTAGCAGAGGAAAGAGTAAAGCCTCACAATAGACAATTAATGATAATATATCACATTTATTACCTATATATTTTTATCCATTAGTAGAAGGTGGCTTAGCTCTCATCCTAGAAATTAAATGATCAAACAGGAGATATTATTAGAAAAAACATTATTTTACTGAATTTGCATGTTTAATGTATTACTAAAATTCCTGGTCAGCAACTAGAACCTACCTCTTTTCAACAATAGGCAATATTTCCACAAATTACCAATATTTTTCAATATTACAGTCAAAGTTTCTCCAATGGTGAAAAGCTTACTCTGTTTTTATATCCACTAGGTGGCACATGAATACTGTTTATTGGAACTTTTAAGGACAAGTCTCATTATGGACGACACATATGAACCTGAATTGTAGGCAAAAATACAAGTCTGATGATGTTAAATGTCCTTCCCATTCCTACTGCATTGTAGCCATTATTCATTATTCAAAACCACAGTTTTTCAACAGATTTGTATTATAAAATTCAAGAATGTATTATAGTTTCCAGAATTAAAACTTAAAAGGTACCTACATTCATAATCTACTGGTCCATGCTGTCTATTTGTATCTACTATTACTTTTTAGTTTCTGTGTTTGTCTAATACAATGGTGGGCATTCTTTAATGATTGTTTACTTATACAAACACTCTTAACTGCATTTTCAAACCACTTCTGCTTTCATCATATGCTGGTTCTGGTACAACCAAAATGGGAGTTACTAGTGTACTTGTATTTATTATTACAAACATTTTTCACTTTTTCAATTAAAAATCGAGACTTGCAACCTAAAAGAGTAACACACAAACAAAGTGGAAATGTACTAAAATTTAATCAATCATAAAAGCTGTAATTTAATCCGTGAGAGTAAAACACAAGAAGCAATATTAGAATTGGTTTAGTATATTATATATTTTAGCTTTCAAAGCCATAGAAATCAGTTATCCCAGTTTATTTTCCTATAAAAGACCCATTTGTTTCCAAAGCATAATGCACAATTTTAATTAGAATATAGGGCAGAATGAAAATGATAGTCCATAACTTTTTAAATATAAAATGAAGTCAATGACTTGGAAAATTATCGCTGCAGTGAGTATGAACAGTAAAATTTGTATAGTTATATCTATCATGATAGATATCAAGTATTAATGACTGATCATTTTTAGTGCTTGATGGGCACAGGATTATGGGAAGAGGTCAATATGAAATTATAGTAGCAATATCTAACATTTGAAATGCATCCATGCTCTTGTATAATCATACAACTAGAGTCAATTATATTTATTATCACATTTGTTAACTATTGCAAAAGAGAAGTACTATTGTCTTTAATTCCAAGAGATATACAGAGCAATTTTATTTTCTTATTTTTTTCCTCAGGGGCTTTTGTGCAAACCATTGTAAGATCTAATTTCTTCACATAATATATAAAAACAGAAGCCTCTTCAGATATGATGTCAATTTGTGATATAGCTTTTTTGAACTTCTGGAATGCTGGCACTTTCCAAATTAGGCAACAGTTCTTCATTCCTGCGATCCTAGGTAAAGAAGTCAAAGGGAAAAATTAACATTCAAGTCAAAATAGTGTAATGTGAGCTACCAAGAGTCTTGTTCACTGTAGCAGCATGAAAGAGCATTGAGCCTTCTACCAGTCATCTTCAATCAGCACCAGTGGCAGGGAATTCTTGGACTTGTTGTCCAATACATCTCAAGTTAATTAAACTGGAAAAAGTATCTTTTTTTTTTTTACTTTCCAGATTACACCCCATGACTCAAGTTTCAGAAAGAAGGACAGATATCTACAGAAGAACCTGTCCTTTCTGTATCAATACTCCAAAAATTGGAAACTTCCTCCATAAAGATGTTTCATTGATATAGACTTAGCACTGATTAAAATAGTTTTCTCATATTTGTTAATGGATTAATCACTGTAAACTTGAGTACAAGCAGACATACACATAAGGGGGATTCCCAACTGTCAGTCCTGAGGGTGATGGGCCTTCTGGAATGGTATGGGATATGAGACAGCAGTTGAGAGATGGGTATGAAGAGGATGGTATATGATTTCTGCAGCTGCTGCTTTACCTTTATGTTATTAACTGCATCTTTTGCTAATAATGATACATATTCATCATAAAACATTTTTCATCAAGGTTGGGATATAAATATTTTAATTCAATAAATCTATTTTCACTGAATCAACTAAAATGTTACAAATAATTATGCAAATTTCTGACTTCTCAAAAGACCTCAATTCAAGACCCCATTTTCCTCCGAATGCACAAGAGTACCAGAGATGGAACTTGGACAATAGATGTTGACCTTAACTGCGTATACCCCCATCCCTAAGTTTCAGTTCTTGCACTAAGCAGGAAAGATAAATCACATGAGCAGAAACACCTTCTAGAGCTTGTATTTAGTTTATTCAAGGAAAGTTAAAATACAAAATACCAAAATATTTTTTTTAAAAAAGTAACACAACATTAAGAAAAAAATGCCTCAGAAAAAAATGTAATAATATATGCATTACATCCTCACTGGTTGAATGCTGATTAATATAACAATATTAATTTCCCTCCCTTACAAAGCAGGCAAAAAGCATTTTAAACTACTCAACTACTAAATCTGTTTACAAATTATTGGCCTGCCATCTATATACTATGCTAATCCTTTTAGAGATTGTAGATTAAAACTGTAATCAAGCCTTCTAAGAAATGTGTGAAGAGATGGACAGAACACTGAGATAGAAAACTAATGACAAATAAAACAAGGAATAGGGAGGAAAAGAACATCCTAGGATTTACTGTAATCCTGAAACACTTATCTATAATAGAAAAAAAGCATTTGTGGCAGGATACTGGCTAAAGAAGGTACAGTATATAAACGAAGAATAGCTTATCAGAAGAAAACACTATACCAAACGTTGTGCGTGTCATGTTTACAGTGTGAAAGTTTTGCATTGAGATCTTCTGCAACTAAAAGATGATCTTTATCTAAAGTACTGAATAAGAAAGAATGCTTGCCAAAATTTTACAGAAAACAGCTTTCAGTTCCACTGCAGCTTCTGTTCCACAGTCCACAGTTGCCCTTACATAACAGAGTAGCTTCAGGGTAAAGTCAGTGGAAACATGTCTCAGGAAAAGAATAATTGGATTTGACTGTTCAGCCATGCTGACAGAGAACTTCAAAAGTCTAACCCGTCTAGAAGTTCCCAAGTTTTGACAAACCTGAAGGGAATGTGTTTGCTTACCTGGCTCAGAGCTGCTGCATGCTGTCGGTCTAAAGCAGCAGACATGACTTCTTTTTAGGCTTCTTCTTTTCCACTGGTGTTTTTCTATTTATCTGTCTGACAAGATCATAAAAGATCTACAAAAGAAAGAGGGGGAAAAAGCACCGAGAGCAATTAGAGAAATAGGTTTTATAGAATGAAAATTTCTTACAAAAATTCGTCTAATAAGCTTTGTGCTGTTATCAAGTGAGAAAGAAATGGAAAGAAATCTGATGTCAGAAAGAAGAGTTTGTCACAAAAACGCATTCAGTTAAAACAAAGATTTAGTTGATTTCCTACTGGGACTTTCCTAACCATGGAAACTATGCACATGCAATACAAAACAAAAAGTGCTCTTAAAAATATTCCCATTACTTTAAATGGGTATTGCTTCAACAAAGACAGCATCATATCCTAAAAATCCTTATAAAATTAATACCGTTTTACTGGCAATTGTAAACGTGATATGCGTCCATGTGTAAATTCTGTATACAGAACACCATGATACTATTATTTGTCTCCCCTTCTCATTCTCTCTCTCTCTCTCTCTCTCTTATAAGAAAGTTAATTTTGCAGGACATATGAATACTTTCTGAGACTAGTCAATCTTTCACAACAAAAGCTGTTCTAAGACATTTTGAGATAAACCTATCAAATCATTAATGCCAAAGTGTTTCACGTGCAAAGCACTGCTCTTGGAGATAGATCATCTTGTATATGCAACTACCTATCATATAAACACAAATGTCACATTTTATTGGTGTGGGTATAGTCTGGGGGATAAAAGCACTTTCCTTTCTCAGAGACTGCAGACACAGTTCTTATAAAAGTCAACTCTGTAGTAATGCAACCTTCACTTCACTTAAGGCAAAGTTATCTGTGCTCTCTTAACTTGGTGATTTGCTTGTAGATGTTTCATTACCCAACTGGGTAACGTCATCAGTATAAGTAATCTAAGCTCAGAGAACACCAAGGACGCTATATATATCCAATTAAAACCTAATTTAACTCATTTTTCTCTTCCAACCCTGAATGCTCTGAAGATTCCAGCAAGCTTTAGTATTTTGTGAACTGCAAAATCCAGAAATTAGTGCCTTGATATTATCTTTAAATAATAATATTATCTTTAAAAGCCCTAAGGTATAACCAAGCATTTTCTAAAAGCATGATAAAACCAGCATCTCTTTTACTCAATACAATAGCATTCTATAAACAGTTATATGAGTTTCTGCAATCAGCCAAGCAAAACATATCAGCAGTCTAATAAGGTCAATCTGACTGCTTCTTGCTAGATGTTCATAAAGCTTAGAGGTCAAAGACTGCAATGAACAGATTTGAGAAAAGATTTTGGAGGAATAAGCAGACAGCACCTACTATATTTTCTGATAATGCTGCCTCAAAGACATTCTATCTTACTACTAATCATTTATTAACATATTCAAAATATTTGAACCAGACGTAAGGAAGTGAATTAGTACAATCCTCTTACATCTGGCTGTTTCAAGGATCCTCCTATTTTGTTTCCATGTCTTTCACCTTCACTCAAAAAAATCCACCTTTTACAAAAATGTAGAATCTGGTAACATGAACTTCAGAGTTAAAAGGTTCCTTTGAAATCATCATTTGCTTCATGGTTTGTGCAACACAATCCATTTTTCTAGTAAATGAGAGGAATATTAAATCCCGAAAGCCCTATATAATGTAGTATTTCCAAATCCCCCCTCCCCCAAAAAAGAAAAAATAATCCTTCCCTTAATACGTTTTATTAAAAAATATAAACTTTTGTGAGCTGCAACTCACTTCAACAAATGCACAAAGTGGTTACACTGATGTACTGGAAGATTTAAATTGGGATTAGATGTGGGGGGGGGGAGATGGGTTAGTTATGCAGATTCAATTTAGATGTGACACAGATTACAAACACTTTATCAATTAACTGCAATGTGTTAAAACCAGTTGGGTTTGTTGAGACCTTTTAAGATTGTGTGAAATATTTTATATGATTTTGGTAATCACTCATTCAATAGTACTATGAAAAGTGAGACTTGAAATAATGTATCCTGGGAGGTTGAAATGCTCTGATACTATAAGCAAAAGCAGGTAGCATATTTAAGCCTTAACTTCATACTCTCAAACGATAGAATAAGGTATTTAATTTGTTAAAAAATATTGATTGCAAGAAAAAAATGAGCTCCTAGAAATGCTATCCATCAGATATGTTAGACTTTAAGTTTATAATTCACACTTAGATTTGATTTTTTTTTTTTTTACTATTCTACTTGTGAAGGATGGGAACCAGAGTCCAATTTTCTTTTCCTAAGGAAGGAAGGCTGAGTCCTCTTTTATTCTACTGTTCAGAACTAGATTGACAAAGTATGCTTTCCATAGTGGCTCTTGTTTAAGAAAATCAAAGCAAGTACGACAACAGCTCTTTTGGATTCTGAAAAATGGAAATTACAAGAGGAAGTCACTTCTTTCCAAAACATAAAATAATAATGCAATCTTTAGCAGTTCCACAGTCTTGGCAGAGTCCAAAGAATATTAAAGGTCAGTACAGAAACTTGACTAGTCTTCTCAAAAAGAAAAATAAATCAGAGCAAGAGATGAGAAAGAGAAGAGCGACAAGAAAAATGACGGAGTACATATTTTCATCTTCAAAATAAATGCTATCCGACATTAAAAATCTCATTCACTAGATGAGAATGTCTATTTAATTTAATGATGTCTGTGCTGAGCTTATTAATCAATAGGCAATACTTATACTCTCCTGGGATAACTTTTGTTAACTTTTGGAGTGCTTTTTAGTCTTATCAAGACACATTACTACCAATCTTGCATAACATTCATTATTATAGCCAGGATGGCAACTTAGGCAAAATTGCCCTGTATGTCTTATGATTCAGGCACTTATTTAACATCTTGCTGATCCTGTTGTGAAAACGGCCCACTTTACTTGGACAGGGCTACACTCAATTTTAAGGACCAGGTTCACAACTTGTGGGTCCTCCTTGATGTGGCATCAATGTTAGACAGTACGTTTATTATATTTAGCAGAGTGAACTCAGGCTATAGTAATTTCAAAGTTGGATTACTACAAATCTCCTCTTGCAGGATGGTTATTAATAATAGATGAAAAACCACATTTGACCCAGAATGCAACAGCATGGATGACAAGAAAGAGTGTGCCATATACCTTAAACATTTTTAAAATGTTAAAACTATGCTCATGGATATTCATGAGATGTGTGTAGGCATGTTGAATTATTATTTTGCTATCTAGAGCCAGTGGAATTAGGTGGCATTATAAATTTGTTACCTAACAATCCAAGTCAAAGAATGTAAAAAAATACAGCATATCATTTAATATATACATATGTAACAATACATACATATATGAAAGGAAGAAGCCCTGTATAATTAACCATTCACTGAAGGCACCAAACAGTTTCTATCAATACTGTAAAGTTATAAATAAAAAACAATGCTACTGCTTTCAAAATACCTGGGTAATGATAATTTAATAAGAATACTTCTATCTGCTCATCAGGAGTCAAAGATCCTAAGTTATTTGTTTTGCTTGTTTATGAAATCATAGAATTTATTATCACTTATGCATTAGAGAAGAAAATATTAACAGGTAGCAATGTAGACTTATATGCTTTGATGGTGCAATTCTCACTTTTTGAAACAAAAATATCAATGGTAATTATCTGAAAAGCTTCTTTCAGACTGGCACATTAAAGGGAACATTTCTGAGAGATTCTACTGGCAAAATGCAATAGAACTATACAAATAGAAAATATATTCATGCTTACAAGCCAGTTAATACAATGCCTTCTGAAAAATCAACCAATATTACCTCATTAACATTGATTTTAGACTTTGCAGATGACTCTAGAAAGGCACAGTTACACCACTGTCTTGCTAAATTCTGTCCCTGTTCTTTGCCAACTACTCGTTCATCTTCCAGATCACATTTATTGCCAACCAGAATCATGGGAACCTGTCCAAAGAGAAAAGAAATATATGTGTAACTGACGATAAAATAAATGCTTTTAAGTTCCTTACTTTGGGCTGGCCTGAAAAAAAATTGCTGGCTAGTCTCCTGTCATGAGAAAGTAAGCATGTCAATGAACTTTCCAAACGTTTATACCTTCTATTTAATAGTTGCCAAAACAATTCATAATTATCAGGGCAGTGTAATCAGGATAATATCAAAAGATAAAAAGGTTTTGCTTTCTGATTCCTTGCTGGTGTTTAATGCACAATCCCATCTTTAGTTTACAGATCTACTTCATTTAATTCCTAAGGAATACAGGGGTTTTGTGTTTGTTCAGCTATACATTATTATTACTATTATAAGCTTTCCTCCCACCACCCCAAGGTGGGTGAAGGTGAAAAATTCAGTTAAAACAAAAAAGACAGGTAGACAGATAGACAGACAAGACCCTCAATTTTAATCTTCATTAAATTGAGATATAATCCCCCAAAGGAGTTTGTGAAGTCTGATAGCACATTAACTGAGATGCTGAACTTGTGACAAGGGATATTCTAGTTCCCTCTGAATCCATCTAAGTGATTGGGGCTAATCATGCTCTCTCAGTCAAGTTTTCCACACAGAATTGCTGTTGTGGGCATAAAATTAAAATACTGCACCATACACTGCTTTGATTCCCAGGGGGAAAGCTAGTAGATATTAATACACCCATATTTCCCCCCAAGAGATTGTATAATGGGTAGACATCTCTAGCTATTTGTTTTGCAACCAATTCTATAATATAATCACCATTATTGACACGTTATGTTTGCAGAAACAAAATGTGGAACAGAATATATTAAAATGCATTATTATTAATTATTTTCATCAACAGAGATCTCTTGTTCCTCTCTTTGACCACTGCCGGAGTGAAGACTAAAAGGAAAATTTTACACAAGCAAATAATGTATTTTTTAAAAAGCGCTGAAATATTGACCAATCAAAATCAAGCTATTTTCAGTTCTGAAAATATTAATTACAGTAAGCAAACTGTAAATGCCCATTAGTTCAAAAAAGCAAAACAAATATTGCTTCTCCCTTCCTCCAAAATATCCCACAGATTCAATGAAATATACAATAGACTGAAATTTGCAAGAACATTATGAATTTCTGAGGAAATGCAGTCTGTCAGAGTCTGCAGTCCGTCCCTTAATGTTCTGATTTTGCATTCTATTTCAAACTGAATTGAATTGAAAATTGAATTACATTTTATTTTAATTAGATTACATTTGCATGCTCTGCTGTTCAATCCAAACATCAAAAGAAGATGTATAAATCCCAATGAGTTCATGAAAATAGGAGAATCTTTGACACAAGTTTTGAACTTCAACCCCAGTTTCATATACCATTCATATATTTGAATAATAGACATTGAGCTTCCCTTGATAAAGGCCTGCCAAATTATGGATCTTTGAGGTGGGAAATTACAAAGGAGGAAATTACAGAGGACTACTTTCCTCCACATTAGTTCCTAGAGTTTGATGAGAATGCAATCTATAAAATATACAATACCCTAAACATTTATTTACTCTAGAAAAGGATGGCACTTCATAAAGAATTGGAGCTGAGGTAAAAAGCTGAAGGATTTTACAAAAGAAATTATCTCTAAGGCTTGGCATGAGCACAGACAATTTAAGATTATAAACAAAAATGTAAATAATGAATCTGAGAGCAAGCACAATTCTGTACTTACTAGCAAGTCTATAAAATGAACATCTAAAGGAGTTGTTTTCTCCATTATATTAAGAAACAAATACAAAAACTGCTGTCACTGAATTTTTTAGTGAGAACCAACATTCAGTACATGAGGCTGGACTGACTATTACAATTAAAACCTGACCCACAGAATGAGAGAATGGAAAGAAAAAAGGAGATTACTCTAGAAATATTGGTCCTAACAGCATGTTTTAAGCCTGGCTAACTGGACAGGGTATGGGAAAATCCATGTTTATCTATGAAGAATGATAATGGACTTTCCAATTGTGGGTGACAATCAGATATAGAGAGAACTTCCACACATTGCCAAAATTTGCTTTTTTGTAGGAGACAGATAAGTAAGTGATGAACATGAATAGGACCTGCCTCTCGGCAAGCTTTTTATACTTTGTGCAAATCTGTCATTTTAGCTTGTATACCTGTGCTTCAAATTACAAACTAATAGTGAATATTGAATAGATTCTGAATTTAAGTATGAAGATTGCAGTGCTACATATTCTCAACTACTACACACTGATAGTATTTATTTCAAATTGACTATTTACATTGTTTTGAAAATGTAAATAGTCCGAATAGAAGAGAAAGCATTTTGATTAAAAGAAGTTATCCTATATTTTTAAGGTAGTCATTCATGTCCCTTGGCAATACCATTCACAACAGTATAAATGAGAACATTTTAGCGTATTAAAGCCTGACAAGTAATGTGTTAGTAAAAAAGGAAAATCAGAAACAAGCAGAATTATGGAACTAGTCTTCAATCTAATTCATTTGATGTATCATCTGATAAGTGTCTCACTTCATGGGTGAAAACAGCTTCACGAGCTATATGACTTTAAATGCTTAGAAAAGAATTGGATTTCAAAAGGTCTACATGAAAAATCATCCCTATTTTAAGGAAGATTAGTTTTACGTGTACTTTTTTATATATCTACTTAAATCAGAATAGGTAGCAAAGGCTTATAGAAAAGAAAATGAAACAATGCAGAAATACGCAACTAAAATCCCTCTACTCATGAATTTTAATAGGTTTTCTTCAATAACAATTTAAATACAGTATTTTCTGATTTCAAAATAAAGCCATCTTCTGCCTTGTCAGATCTAATTTGTTAGACAGATGTTATCCAGTTCCACTTCTCCATTTTAACTTCCCTACTCTGACAGAGAAAATTTGAAGGAAAACTTCACTCATTCATTAATTTTATTCATCTTCGTAGCAGGGAAGTTTTCATAAAAACAAAATTATGGTTCCATTTCAGACAAAGTAAAGTTAGATCCCAATTTCTCATTTGAGGTTCAACTGTAGAATGCCTGGGAAAGACCAGATTAGATCAATGCTATCACATTCATAGTAAAATGTACTGCCAAAATAATGGATATCTTGGGTAAATTGATATTTCTAGGATCTACTACTGAATTCTTGATATTTTTCCTATTAAAAATATTTCCATTTGCAATGGAATTATGTAGTCTTCACTTTCAGCTGCAGCCTTAGTTATTTCAATTTTTGGGAAAGGGAAAAATACACAGTATTCTAGCTTTAGGCATACTAATAGAAGCAGAACACTAAATAAAGTGGGCATTTAATCTAATCTAGAACGGCTGTTCATAATGGAATGCTATTACCAGGTCATAATATAGTGTATTCCAAACCACATTCAACTTGGATTATACAGTGAACAGTAGTGACTATAGTATAATAGCTGTGTTGGAAAAGGGTACAGTACAACAATATATTTTTGTTATCATTACTTGTTATCCCATTTAGTAAATAAAATACTAAATAGCATTTCACCTCATAGGAAGGCAGGGAGATGCTCATATTATGAAACAAATATAGTGATGTCTTTTCCCTGTCTACAGTAATAATTGGCAACGTGTTCATGCTTCTACCAAAGCTTAATGCTATAAGTAAGTAAATAGTTCACCATAAAGAGAAAAAGAAAAGAAAGAAGGTCAGTTATTTTGGCTGGAAAATGAGTTATTTCATTAAGATATTTATATTCACACACACATAAACACTAGCATTCATATCACTAGACTTTGGATGGAACAGTAGCAAATGTTTACAAATATGACAGAAAAAAAGCTCAAATACTAAATGATGCTGGGCCAAACTAAGTAACAGAAACATTACTTCTGAACATAAAATTTTGTACAACCACTCTAAGCACAAAAGTTAAACATGCCTTTTCTCCAACTTTCTTTTCCCAAGACGCAAAAGACTGGATGCCTTTTTGTCAGAATCACAACTTCCATCATAAAATACTCTTGAGGAAATAAGGATAGATTTAGGTCAATGAAAAAACCTGCAGTAAACAAATACATTGTTTTTTTGGGATTCTTTATAACACAATATTCACTCCAGCTGGAATCTGCCTGTCTTGTGAACTCAGGGAGAGAAGGTTTATCATAGGTCCAGTCACAGAAAGAACATCATTATTAAGAACTCTGCTGCTGTGCCTTCTCAGGGCCAATCCTTTGTCTCTGGAATAGCCTTCCCTACCTTGCTACAAGACTTATGTACTAAGTTTCTAAAGACCAGGCTTTTTCAGTGGGCCTTTTGAGACAAGTGGAAGGTGAAACAACATCCAGAAAGTAAGTGTTCTAAAAGGATGGAATTAGAGCAGTTTAGTTCTATTGTCTGTTGTGGGCAGAGGTGTGGTGAACTATTGATTGTAATGCTACAATTTAACACAGAACTGTAAACTGCTCAGATTTTTCTGCCTAGAATAGTATATAGAAAATCCAATAAAATAAACACATAAATAAAAGATATAGTAGTAAGCAGTTTTATGAAATATATTGGGTCAATGCCGTTTTCTGAAGCCTGAGATAATAGCAATAGCACTTAAGACTTATATACTGCTTTATAGTGCTTTACAGCCCTCTCAAAGCAGTTTACAGAATCAACATATTGCTCCCAACAATTTGGGTCCTCATTTTACCCACCTCGGAAGGATGGAAGGCTGAGTCAACCTTGAGTCTGGTGGGATTTGATCTGCCAAATTGAAGTTGGAGAACTTGAAGTATTGCACTCTAACCACTGCGCCACCAAGGCTCCATTATGCATGTATGTCTTTGATAAGCACTTAACAAGTTCAGAATTCTTGATAATTATTATTAATAATGAAAATGTACATCAATATTTTTATTTAAGTAGCAACTTAAGAAATAATACAGAAAAACATATGTAGAAAAAAGCACAATTTGGATTCAGCAGTATAGCCAAATCCGTCTTAACGCAAAGTATTGCCAAAAGTCATAGAACTGTTTCCTAAATTGGTTATAAAGCAAATTCAGCAAAATGGCCAGACAAACTGACAACATCACATATTACATGCATTAAGTATGTGAAGAAATTCATTTAGAAAGGATTAGGTAATTCTTTGAAGAATGAATTAAGACTGCCAGGATCAGATGGATTATATCCCAGAGTTCTGAAAGAACTGGCAGACGTGATCTCGGAACCACTGAATATAATATTTCCAAACTCCTGGAGTACTAGTGAAATACCAGAGAACTGGAAAAGAGCTGATGTAGTTACAATCTTCAAAAAGGGGGAAAATGGATTCAGGAAATTACAGATCAATCAGCTTGAATCAATATCTGGACAAATCCTGGAAAAAATAACTAAGAGCCTGCAAACACCTAAAAAATGACCAAAGCTATTACTAAAAGTCCATATGGGTTTGATACAAACAGATCATGCGAGACAAATCTTATTGCTTTTTTTCTTTACAAAATGGCTAAATTAGTGGATTGGGGAAATACTGTGGACATAATTTATTTAGACTTCAGTAAGGCAATTGACAAAGTGTCTAATTAATAGATAGGGGAAATACTGTGACATAATTTTCTTAGGCTTCAGTAAGACAATCGACACAGCCTATTTCTTAGTCAGATAGAAAAATGTGGGATAGATAGCATCACCAAAAGATGGATTGCAACTGACTGACTAACTAGATTCAATGTGTAGTCTTCAATAGAACTACATCTACATGGAGGAAATCATGCAGTGGAATACCCCAGGCTTATCCCAGTATTCTTCAACATCTTCACAAATGATTTAGATGAGGGGATAGATAGAGAACCCATTAAATTTGCAGATAAAACCAATCTGGGGGGAATAGCCAACACTTTAGAAGATAGACTCAAGATACAGAAGGATCTTAATAAACTTGAACACTGGGCCTATCTAACAAAATGCAATTCAGTGCTAAGAAAAGGTTTTAGACTTAGGCAAGAAAAACCAAACACAGAGATAAAAAATACGTAGTACCTGGCTCAACACAAATGACTGTAATAGGGATCTGGGTGTCCTACTGGACAACTACTTCAGTATGAACTAGCAGTGTGCTGCAACTGCCAAAAAAAAACAAAAAACCCTGCAATTCTAGGCTACATCAACAGAGGGATAGTTTCAAGATCACATGAAGTGATAGTACCACTTTATACTGCATTGGTAACACCACACAGCACTGGAATACTGCATCATATTCAGAATACTGTTCTGGTTCTATGATACAAAAAAAGATGCTGAGGAGCTACAAAGAGTGCAGAAAAGATCAACAATGATACAGGGTCTGGAAGCTAAACCATATGAATGGTTGTGAGAACTAGGTAAGTCTAGTTTAATAAAGAGAAGAACTAAGAGTGACATGATTACAGTCTTCCAATGTTCAGTGGGCTATTACAGAGAAGAGGGAAGTCAATCTATTCTCCAAAGCATCTGAGGGCAAGACAAGAAGTAACGGGTGGAAGATTATCACAGACACATTAAACCTAGAATTAAGGAGAAATTTCCTGACAGTGAAAACAATTAACCAGTGGAATGCCTTGCCTCCAGAAAATGTGGGTCCTCCAACACTAGAAGTTTTCAAGAAGAGATTGGATTACTGCTTGTCCAGAATAGTATAGGGTGTCCTGCTTGAACAAGGGGGTTGGAGGAGAAGACCACTAAGGTCTTTTTCAACCTTGTTATTCTATGATCTATGAATTTCATTCTCATCAAATGGAATTGAATGCTCTGTCATTAAGCTACATTCTGGAAGAGTCACTTTCTCCAAATTAAGAGTATAAGAAAGAAAAAAAAAATCTGTGTTGCTATAAATTATTGAAGGATTATTTACTGTATTGTTACCAATAATTTCATACAGTTTTTAAAAAAGCCACAAATTTTGAAGACTAAATAGTTGTGAGTGTAATTAGAAACAACATTTCCTATTGAGAATGAAAATGCATCTCTAGGTAAAAATAATAGTAATAATAATAATAGAACTACATGAGTCTTTGAGAACAGTAGCAACATAGTTCAGTGGAAGCTGATGGGAGGACAGGACGGGGCATCTAGCTTAAGGGTTACTTGTCTCGAGCAAAAGGTATGCAGTGACCCTTTATTACATGATTTGAATTTTTCCAGAGTTCAGTGCCCATTCAACTTTGGTGACTAATTCTCCAGTAATAACCACATAAATAAATGAAATGTTCAATCAAGAATGTTATTGCCTCATACAAAATATTTAGAACAGTTTTTCAGTCACATAGACACTGCACAAAAACAGATGCTGCCTTGTTTAAAAATGCAATGGATCACAAGACAAAAATCCTATTTACTTACATCTTCAGTGTCCTTGACCCTTAAGATCTGTTCCCTCAGGTCCTGTAAGTCATTGAACGTGGACTGTGCTGTAATAGAATAAACTAGTGCAAATCCTTGACCATTTTTCATATACAGATCCCTCATTGCGGTAAATTGCTCCTGCAATGAATATGTACATATATTTAAAAATTAATTATTCAACAGAGTTATCTCATCTTAAACCAGAGACAAAAGTGCCATTGTTAATGTTGAAATTATCACTCTGCTCTTCCAGAAAACCAATGAAGCATGCGGATGTATTTTTAATTATATCAATTATTTCAATGTAACTTTTGAAAATTTAGAAATGAAAAAAGTATCCCAAACAATGTTCTAAAGCTAAAGTTAATTTAGGAGTTATCTTATATTTTACATACAGTACATGAGGGTGCCTCTATTTTTTTTAGTGAAGGACAACTGTGTAATAGTCCAACTAGACTCTTCTTTCTTCTCTTTTGTACACATTCAAACAGCACAGATGAAATAAGCGGCTAGCTTTAGAAAACTGTAGTCAGACCATATATTGTGGGAATACATCACTTCAAATCTATTCACTTCTGCTGTAAAGAGCAAAGCAGTATTAAAATTCAGGAAGATTAATATTAATATGGAGAATTAGCTCCATATTTACCTGCTTTGCAATTGACAATAGCCCTAGCTAATGACAGTAACAGGTTGGTATAACAGGTTGGTCTGGTATGAGTCTAATAAGGAACAGCCAGTTAAGCCATAGTTAAGCAAAACTAAATTATTCCAGAATTATGTAAATATTTTTACAAATACTATTGGAATTCTGTACTTGGAACCCAAGATCATGAAATTTCTATTTACTTCTCATAAAAGCAATCTTAAATATGTAACTGTATGACTTGAGCTATTCCTGGATATATTATAAGCAAAATTAGACCAAGGAAGATAGATCCCTTCTCCAAAACACTGGATCTCATGTTCTTGCTTCCGTCTTCAAATGGAAGCATTTCAAAATTATTATAGATCTGTACTTACTGTCCCTGCTGTATCGAGGATTTCAAGCATACATTGTTGGCAATCTACTTCCACTTGCTGAAAAGCAAAGAAACAAGACACGCAACTGAAGCATTAAAAATTCAGTGCTTTAGCACACAACTATGATGAGACATGATCACAGGCATTTACAAATACACAGATTAATCAATATAATTTATTATTCTACAAATTCTCTAACTTGTAGAAAAACAGAAAAGTTTTCAGTAGTGTGCTTTGCATATCACTCTAAACCAGTTTGCTTAGGTATGTTATGCTGAATATAAGGTTTTGCACAGTACACTATTAGCCATAGCATCCCAACTACTAAGGGGACAATTATGCTAAGCTGAAACAAAACAAAAAAAGCCATATTATGGTTTAATGCATTGGATGAACCCAATCTTTGCTAAACTTCTATAGGTCTTGGCAGGAATTTATTCAGATCGTTTCATTCAGTAATATCTAATGTTTGTAAAACAAAGAAGGTTGTTTTTCTAGCTCTACCATAGGTTGCCAATTTGAAATTGAACATATTAAAGCATGTCTTTGACTATTCATATGCCAAGCTTGGTAGACTGGAACTGTTATCCAAATGGACAATAGCACTTATTTTTAGAAGTTTTTATTAGATAGTGTTGACATGTATTATAATCAAGAGTAAAAATATCTGAAATGAAATTATAAATGACTTTATCTACCTTGTGGATTGTATAAATGTTGTGGCTTATAATTACAAATTACTCCAAAAATAATTGGGGAATATAAGTTGCCTACTTCATTTAAAAAATCTTTCATTAGTTAGCTTGTGTTACTTTTACAATAAATAGAAAATTGACATACTGAAAAAAACAATATTTTCCCCAAATAACTTAACTTTAAATTGAAAAGTTTTATATTAGCTGAGAATATACTAATTCTATAAGCATATAGATTTTTCTAAAAAAACCTCTAACTATTATGGTGGAGCCATCTTAAATTGCATCTTCATTTCACATAAACGTGATGTATTTATATGCTGCAAGTAAATAACTTTGACAAATTCTGATTAATTTATTTTATCTGATATTGTAAAACAAGCCTGCATTAACTGTAATTTCATTCCATGTAATTGTTGGTATGAAGATATGTGGCTGCAACAGGCTTTTAATAATGAACTCTCCTGGCTTTGGAGAGATGGCTGATTATTTCAGAAAATACAAAAGTGGGAAAAACCAATTCACACAGAACTGTAAAACTAGATAGAGCTTTGAACTTCTTTCAAAGGCCACTCCCTACCCTCTACCAACAAATTACTGCTAAAACAATTTATCTTGTGAATATAACTTGCTCCAACACCACCTTTGGAGCAAATATCTGTTTTTGTTTAATTGTTGGCAGTGAAATGAAATGGGAGAAGAATCAAGGTTTTTTTCCCCTGAGGGTCATGATTCCAGTTTAGATCATATCTTTATCATTTTACAGAAAAAAAGAAATCTAAGTATAAGCATATGTATAGTTTATAGTGTATAGCATATCATAGTATAGTATAGTACAAGTACAGTACAGTATAAAGAACCAATCACCCACAATAAGAAGATTTATTGCATGGAAACTTGATATTTGTAAGGTAATTTTATCTCAGGTAAGGCATAAAATGTATATCTGTTCATTGATTGAAATAAAGGGTATGATTTGACATAACTTGTATTTTACCTTTCTGTAAGAGTCTTCTATTGTGGGGTCATATTTTTCAACAAAAATTCCCTGAACAAACTGCACAGTCTGGAAAAGAAGGAAATGGGAAACATATATTCGGTTAGTTGCCTGAAGCCAAAAATCTACAACAGAATATTCAACTGATAATACAGTTTTAAGTTTGGTTATTTGACTTTCATTTCCATGCTCCAAGGTCTAAAGGAATAAATATATATATTTATAATATATATTTACCTATGTGATTTAGAACAGGTTCTTTACTGAAAACTTATTTTCAACCTTTCATGAGTTCAACAAAACATATGAATGGGTTTATTTTTCCAAGCATGTATGACACTAGTCCAATTATAAAGTTTAACTAGTTTGTTTCCAAGTAAGAAATTATAGCAGCCAGCTTGAATTCCTTTAGGATATGTTATACTCCTCCTATACTGGTTCATAAACTATTCCAATACTGATCAATTGGACTATTTTTTCTTAATTCAAAAGCCTTCATGGATTGATCGGGAATGATAGCAGTTGATATCCAATGTCCAAGGTTATCTTGTGACTTGCTCATGGATTAATTCCATAGAGCATCTCCATATTTCTATATAAGTGCAATTTCTCTCGTTCCCACCCGCTCACACACACACAGAGAAATAGTGCTAGCAATAAAGGACATATATTCTGAATGTACCTCATAGGAATAAAATATATGCTGACATAGAAATATGGTTCAATATGGATGTATATATGAATGATAATATATTAAATATATTAAAGATGTGAGGAATCAGAAACAAGGCACTATGTTGACAATCATAGCTCATAGATAAGTGGGCATGAAAAGATAAACCAGAAGTAGGGCCAAAAAGGTTCAATATACCAAAATCTACAGTATTTAGTTGTTCTCTCATTTTTTCAGTCAAAGAAAATACTATATGAAGCTACAGTATGACAGCTGTGCATAAGCAAAGTAACTGGAATTAGAGTTCATTACTGAAGCAATATGTGCTTCTGGATCCATAAATAAAAATTTAAACAATGAGAAATTTGGAACTAGATTCCAATGGACTCAAGCTACCCTTTGTTAGAGTCTTCCTATTTTTCAGCAACTTTACTACTCTCTATGAGCTGTACTATCAACACCAACACCAACACTTTACACATTCATTTAAAGCCAACCAGCAAGCTTTCAAAATAGGCCTCTCTCTTTTGAACAAGCATTAACTCTAAAAATGAAATCCTCTGCTTTCCAGAATTAAATGAAAATAATTCAAAAGCATAGGATTTGAGTGTTTCCCCTTTATACATAATGAACCTTTCCTGCAGTGACTGAAAAATAAGTTTTTCTGGCCACTACTACATCCTTAAAAACCCCATGTTGTTTTGCTGCAAAATTTTGCTTGACAACAAGGAATACAAGCACTATAAATGGTTTCAGATTTGAAAGTCTAATAATTATCTGCAGAAAATATTGTATTCAAGAAATTTATGAATGCTTCAGAAAGCCAATGTTATACCTTTCATGCTCATAGTTGCTTTCTTGCAATTGTGTTTAGGGAGGGTTGACTACGGACATACTGCCGGTCTAGCTCAACCTACACTTTCTCCTATAAAAAGGTCTCTCAATGTGTAATCAAAATGAAATACCAGTTTAAGTTCTTTTTATGTAACTCATCCTATTAAAAAACTTAAATGGGGAAGATGACCCAAATAATTATATTGAAGTACAATGTGGACATAAGGTAAATGATTCGAACATAGTTATTTTTTGCCAAAGAAACACAGAATTATAGAAAATTCTCACTTGCCTAAGCCATTTGCAAAAGAGCCAGTGTTCTAAAAACAGGAGTGCAGCTACTCTGTAAATACGTATGTTGTAATAGCTTTCCTTCAAATAGCAAAAGAAGAGTATACATCAGTGTTATTTTAATTATTTAGAATATGCATTTTATTAATTATATCAGATTTTTATATTTTTATCAAAGGCATAATTGCACAATAGGAAAGGTAAAGACTTATGGTACTGTGGCTTAAATTTAGCCAAAGGTAGAATATTTTTTGTAAGCAATTGCTTATTATTATTTATCACTATTAGCACATTTAGTGTTATGTAGAATATAGGAAATCTAATCCTTCCTAGAGGAGAGTGTAATCTAAAACTTGAGGGGTAAGAGTAAGAGTAGCAATAGGAATAACTTATTTATTTCAGCTATACATGCCTTCAGATGTTCATATGTAAGAATCTGGGGTAGTAAGAAATCAATATGAAATCAAGTGCAATTTTCTCCTGCAGTTTGTTTTCAGGTTATGCAACTCTTAAATTGCACAGGTAGATACTGAATATTTTATGTATCCACTTAATTGTGGATACCCAATCCTGATTCAACTAATTTGCTAATCAGAATCCTATGATAAACATTATTAATTTTTTTGGTGAAATCAAGATATATCATGTTCACCATTTCAATCCTGCCTATTCATCCTCGTCATAATTATTAGAAGAATACATACAGTGATTACTTATTGTACCCTCTGACTATCATTATGATTCTTGACTTTTGATGAATGTATCTTTTCTTTTATGTATACTGGGAGCATTTGCACCAAGACAAATTCCTTGTGTGTCCAATCACACTTGGCCAATAAAGAATTCTATTCTATTCTATTCTATTCTATTCTATTCTATTCTATTCTATTCTATTCTATTCTATTC